AGTAAGGGATCAAGTCAGTTAGGATGGAAAGAAATCCTGTTCGATGACATTCTTCAATTTGTCAAGTTCAGTCCAAGCTTTACGTATACTAGAGCGTCCGGGATTTTACTGAAGCAGGTTTTGGGTATCCCGATGGGCAGCAGCATGCACCTTCCTTTGGCGTGCATTATGTGCGCACACGTGTAATGGTGTTTTCTGGAATCATTGGGGAGTCAGCGCAATTTGGTGCATGGTATTCGTCTTATGGAAGATGTCTCTTATTCATTATCTGTAAGCGATACGGTGGCTCTTCACTGTACAAGGCAGCAAAGATTCGGAGGAGATTTGAAAAATGCTACCCTCGGACCCTGTCTTTGACAGATGACGGGTCCAGGGGTTGAGAATTCTTGGGCTGCGCCTTGGTTATCCAGGAACAACAGCCCTTTCTTGGCTGCTTCCAACGAGTTCGTAACGAAGATAATTTGAGACTGGGCCATGAGCTGACGATCCAGGCTGGCCAAGACTTTTTCTCGTGGTCCAATAGGAGTCAAAAAGCAGGTGCTACTGCAGGCTGGCTATATCGAATTGACCGGAACTCGTCCATTCGGCACAAGATACCGGGACAGGTGATGCTTTTAAAAATTAAAAGTGGCCTATCAAAGGAAGCCTTTCCCGGTCGACTTTTTCTCAGGGTCCTGGATAACTTCGCGGAGAAAAGGGGTCCGGTCTGGAAATTGACGGCGGACCTTTTGAGGAAATTTGCTTGATAGTTCTCGACAGGCTTAGGTCTATAGTTAGTTGTTGTGTTTAGACAGGTATTCCTAGTTCTTAGTTCTCTCCCAGCATGGCGACCTGCTTGGCAGTCTACGTTAGCTGGCGTCTCGCTAGCTACCGAGACTGTCACCTCAATTTTGTCGGAATGTTCAGCGGTTCATAGGGATTGTCGGAATGATGGTGGAAGGCGAGGGGATGGGATCTCCATGATGTTACTATTTCCTATTTGACATCCCGCTTTGCGTTTTTTTTGCTGTCTATTGCTTTCTATTGCTGTCTATTGCTGTCTACGAGAGACTCTGTGCTTGTTCATGTGTGTATGTGCACCCTGTTTTGCCCCCCCTTGCCCCCTGATGGCTGTTAGCGAAATGGCTGAGGCTGCCAAGATAACTCCGGGTACAAGCGTGAGGTCCCCGGCCTCAAGGTAATTGGCGATATATGATTCCATAGGATAAAAAAAAAGAAAAAAAAGAAGAAAAAAAAAGTGGTTGACTTCACGCGCCCTGCATGCACTTCACACAAGTTCATAACCTGATTCATAAGTTCATAACCTGTTTATCGAACGTGTGAAAGGACTTGCAGTAAGCGTGAGCATGGTATTTGAGTATCGACTCGAAGAGTTGGGGAACAGTCATTGTTAATTATTAATTAACCTGTTTTTTTTTTTTTTTTTTTTTTTTTTTTTCACAAGCACATCACCCTCGGTGCCCCTGCTGCAGGCGGGGGATAACAGCCCACGCCTGTTGCA